ACAAAGACTCGTTAAAATAATCTGAATTCTTTACGTTATAAAGAAAAGAAACAGACAAGCGAAAGTGAAGAAAAATAAACACCTTATTTGCAAGTAGAAAATTGAAAGAAATACTGGCTGATCGTCTAATTAGGTTACTGCATTGTTGGACTGTGAGTAAAATTTAATCAGTTGAGGCTAATAAAAAATAAATTAACTGAATTGTTTTCCTGTGTAAGTAACATGAAATAAATTATATTTTTGGGAACAAAATTGCATCTAAAAGCAAGTAGAGGGTCACATGGTCAACAGATATTGGAAGACTCAGAAAACCAAGAAGAGACTAAAAAGGCAAATCTTAGCCCCTTCAATATATAATCGAATCCGGTTGGAAACATCAAATTACCCTAACAGTTTCTATTTCATCGGTAACTAATTAATCACAACATTGGATCACAGTGTCATCTCTGCTCCATGTGACAGTCGCAAAATAGTCCCACAGTCATAACAAGAGTATGGATGCAATAAAACAGATCCATCAGACACTAAATAATCTCACTAAATACATTTTGTTGCAGTTTTATTGCATCCTACGTTGTCTTAGTTGGAATTAGCTCATGATCTCAACCAGATTTAGCAAGTTATGAATAAATTTGTTTGTTTTTTAAAGGAAACCACATTGGGCTTTTTCCTACGACCACTGCAAGGAATCGAACCTCGGATACTAGCGTTGTAAGTCCGTAGCATTACCGCTATCCCACCGGAGGACTCTTATAAATAAGAAATTTAGAAAATAAAAATTTGCGGGGCATGAAATATGCACAATTATAATATAGGAGATTGAGCTATGTGATATTTACATATAAATAGAAGCTGTATCACAACTTCCTGATTGAAGGAAGGACACTTAGATGATTCTGGCGTTGGAGTTCAGTAGGGTAATGATCCAAAACGTGTTCTGTTGAATAAGAAGTATTTGAAAGGGATGTTTGTTTGTTTGTAATTAAGCACAAAGCTACACAATGGGCTATCTGTGCTCTGACCACCACGGGTATCGAAACCCAGATTCTAGCGTTGTAAGTCCGCAGGCATACCGCTGTGCCACTGGGGGGGGGGCATTTAAAGGGGAAAGAAAGATTTTGTGATATAAAAAGTCACGATATTAATCCAATTGCAAGTTCGTTATTCATGTTGAAATTAATGTTTTAAAGATAAGACAGTTAATGTACGGCCATTTTTTAGATCCTACAGTAAAAGAAAAAGAAAATACCAGTTAATATTCTCACAACTTTATTGCATCCGTGACTGATTTAATTCGCCATTTATAGTTAAAGCTAAAGGACGACTTGTTACGTATATATTTTTCAAATTTTTGTGTAACTTTTTTTTGGAGTCAGACTGTTAACGACAGTGTAAAAATCCAATATTTCTCCAAGTTTAATAACAGAGATATTTCTCTAAACACCCATCTTGAATTTACCTCGAAAGCAGAGACTAGGAATATAATAAACAATTTGCAAAGTTAGTAACTACTGGCTACTAGCCCTCACCAAGGTAGTGTTTTAATTTTACAGCCTAGGGTCTCAGGCGTCCGTAGTCATTTTCAACGATTGTAAAAGCGCTTTTTTATTTTCAACTGACCTTAATATTTCATCACATCTAAATGGGCCTTCTTAATGAGTATCCAGTCTCTTCATACACGTGTAATGCAAAATGTGTACAGATATTAAGCATCAGATAAACACATCTTGAAATGCACTTAAAACAATATCTCAAAGGTACAACATATTTGGAAATAAATAACCTTGTGTTTCTTCGTTATTTTGCTTAAGACATAGTAGCTAACAGATAGTTGAAATGGCGTTTTTCGAGTGTAACGAATGATACGTGACAAATATACTTGAGAACATATATATATATATATATATTATATGTACATTAAATAATCTGAAATCCACCTCATTATTCACCTATATTCATCATTGAATTAAAACAACTTGCTACTCAGCTATCATTAAGTACAAGTTATATTACAGCCATGCTTATATAAAACATCAACATAAATATGCTCTCTTCCTCATCATTTTCGATTTCATAAGTTAATATCAATAGTAGAAGCATTGAAAGCCATCTACCGGTGTAAAGCGTCGATACTCGTTTTTAATTGTTTTATTTTTTCATATTCTAGAATTATATATATATATATATATCTGATGTAAAAAAAAAAAAAAACTCTCCATACCACTTGGTAGACTACATCTTTTTTCTAATATCACTGCAATTGTGATACTCAAATGATTTGTCGGTACAAACATCAATAAAGTTCCATGATCATGCACCAAAATATAATGAATGTCCACCGAGATTTCATTTCCTTAAAAGTTATTTCTTTGTTGTTTTGACTTTCGCACGAAGCAACGCGAGAGACATATGTGCTAACTATTCGCAATTTAGCAGAGATAGACTAAAGGAAAGGCAGCTACTCATCACCACCAACTCTTGGGATACTCTTTTACCAGCAATTATTGGGATTAACCGTCACATTATAACGAGCCCGCGTCCCGCAAATTTAGAGTAAAGCACCCTAACCACCAAGGCATGACAGGCCTACTACAATCGTGTCTTGGTGTTGATTTGTACAAGCTTACAACTAATTGAAAACCAAATGCTTGTTTCTGCAATCGTGTCTTGGTGTTGATTTGTACCAGCTTACAGCTAAGTGAAAACCAAATGCTTGTGTCTACAATCATGTCTTGGTGTTGATTTGTAACAGCTTACAGCTAAGTGAAAACCAATTGCTTGTGTCTACAATCGTGTCTTGGTGTTGATTTGTACCAGCTTGCAGCTAAGTGAAAACCAATTGCTTGTGTCTACAATCGTGTCTTGGTGTTGATTTGTACCAGCTTGCAGCTAAGTGAAAACCAATTGCTTGTGTCTACAATCGTGTCTTGGTGTTGATTTGTACCAGCTTACAGCTAGTTGAAAACCAAGTGCTTGTTTCTACAATCGTGTCTTGGTGTTTATTTGTACCAGCTTACAGCTAAGTGAAAACCAATTGCTTGTGTCTACAATCGTGTCTTGGTGTTGATTTGTACCAGCTTACAGCTAATTGAAAACTAAATGCTTATGTCTACAATCGTGTCTTGGTGTAGATTTGTACCAGCTTACAGCTAATTGAAAACCAAATGCTTATGTCTACAATCGTGTTTTGGTGTTGATTTGTACCAGCTTACAGCTAATTGAAAACCAAATGCTTATGTCTACAATCATGTCTTGGTGTTGATTTGTACCAGCTCTCAGCTAAGTTATACTTTCAACTACTTTGAGTTGGTACGAATCATTACTAGCATGAAAAACACTGAGAAAATGGCAGCGACATTGAATACTTCCAAAGTCAAGAGAATGGCACGAGCAAACCATCTGTAACTATAAAAAAAAAACAATTATGTTATTGCCGTGTTAGGAACAAAACACTTCCTATAGTTCATTCCTCTTAAATACCTAATCCAAGTTTTTATTAGTTTTAGAAATTTCTTTGTGCTAAAAAACTTAGTAGAAAATGTGTGGCTTTGAAATTACTGACAAGGAAATTATGTAAAATGCCATAATTTATCAAGTTAGAAGATTAATCAATTGTCTTGAACTTGAAAAACAATTGAAGTTAAATATCTAATTAAATTATCAAAGCGCTTTTTCCGTGTTTCGTCTTTTTTGTTTTGTTTTCAAAAGTTGGTTTATTTTGCAGTTTTCTCGTTATTACGTATGTGGTTGCGGTTTAGTCTTTTAATCATAGCTTACGACGTTTCAAGTTTTTTCTAACAAATGTTGTAATACGCTGTTTTGTATTTATATTAAAACTGATTTATTATTCCCACCTGTTTCTTTAGCCATATGGTGATGGATTACGTAGAACTGCGTAAACACTAAATATAGCACAATTTTTGGACGTTATAATATATCTTAAGTATTTTACAATCGATATTTATTTTTTTCAATTAAGACCTGTACATAAAATTCAAGTCCTGTTATTAGTTTTCATAAAGCAAAAAGTTAATGATGAAGCATTCTTGGGAAAAATTATATTTAAATTATAATTACACAAAAACGGTGTTTAGATGCTTTTTGAAGAAATAATAGTGGCTTACATTTATTAACATTTAATTATCTTAGAATAGATAAAAAAAAATGAACTATGAATATTCTGCTTTCCATTTGAACCTGAAAATCACAGCCTATATATTTTTTGTATTATTGGGCTGATTTTGATATCAAACTGATAAAACAAATACTACGGTTTTTTTATTGTGAGTGGAAGGTGATATTTGATATTATATTAGGGATTAAAGATTCATACTAAACCGCAAATATACCATATCTAATTAGGTACTTCCTAAATCTGAAGGAATATACCAGTTGTCATCATTCTTATATATATATGCCACTATTGGATAGAGCTCCAGACATATAAACAAAGGATTCAGGCTCCTGAGGGCATAAATAGGAGGTGAAATCAAAGGCTGCAGCCCGTTCGTGGGTATCCCTTAAGGTCAAGAAGATGTTCCAAAGTTTACCATTAGGGGCAATAGTTCCAATATCCGCTACTAAGAGGTGGATATTTTCAAAGTGTGTCACTAGAGGATGGGCGATGAGATCGTCACCGTATACTAGTTTAATTTACAAGCTACATACTAGACTTTGTACTAACATATAGCATTAGAACTAGATATATATCATATGCATTACATTAAGAATTTAAGAAAACTAATCTTTCATTATCTGTAGCTCTTAACACAATATCAGTTTTATATTATCGTGACTGTCAGCTAATTTATAGTTTCACTTCAACATCAATAAAAAAACAAGTTTTTGGAATACATGTGATTAATATCTAATGTACATTATTATTATAGTTTGACGATGTGTATATCATAGATTTGTCGGTTTTTAGAAAGTGGAGGTTTTTATGTGCTGTGGAATGATCAAATGTGTTGTTTTTTATCTCCTAATATCATATATTTCAGACTTTCCACAACTCAAGAAAACTTCAAATTCCTAGAATCTAACAAATAAATAAGAACTCGAAAAGCAAACCTGGGGTGGAAGAAAACCGAAGGATGACATGCCGAGAGCAACTCGTCGTTTTGACAACCTGAACTAGGAACCTACTCAGAGGTTTTTTAGTGTGCAGTTGATCACAAACTGTGCACCTGTAAAAATATTTGTGTAGTTAAAACTTCACCTGTATAACTCAGTTCAAGTGGATAACTATAAAAAAAGACATATTTAAAATTATAAAATTCCATTCCAAAGTTCATAGATAAATGTATTTGCTATAATATTCTTCATTGTTTGGATCATTTGTTACTAGGCCTGTATATATGAGGTGCAATAAGGCTTTATGTATTAAAAAATTATGAAGTTAAAATATAATTGTGCAGTTAAAAAAAATCCTTAGAAAAAGCTCTAAGCCTACTACTCGTCTAAGAATCGGATAGCCTTGAATGCCCACAACAATTTACCCGCAATGTCGACGATACCTCAACCAGGTGTTTGTCGAGAGTTCGTAGGTGTTGAGAGGATTTGACCTTAACGTGTATAATCAACTCGTGGGGTCTACTTGAGTTGAGGCATGATAATATTAAAAGCAGATTGGATAAATACTAAAAATAATAAGTTTAGACTTTGAAAGTCAAACTTTACGTTCGATCATAACCAAACTAGGATTATAATTGTGGAAAAATTGACTGATTACCTTACGCTTCGGCGGACAAATACATTTAATTCTTTCAAACGGTTGATTATTAGCTTCAGTTGACGATCTTCATCGTTGTTCTAAATCATGAGGGGTGGTTAGAGTGAAAGATCACGTTATGACCTTATCGTGTTTCTGTTACTAAAATGATAATTACTAATTTTCATAATTCTTATAACAATTAACTTGACGCTTACTTTGTAAAGACTCACTCTCAATTGTTATGTAAGGACAATGTGATATATACTAAAGTTGTAGCCTAATAATATATTTTTTGAAAAGTAAAGTTGAAACATTGTGTCGCAAAAAGAGTCAATAAGCTCTTAAAGTCAAATTTCAGGGATACACAAGATCCGTTCGTCACTAGTTAGGCTAAACTTTTCTTCGTAAAGCACGTTTTATATCGATAAACTCAGTACATTAAATGCGATACAGGAAACAAGATTTATGTACAAAATCGATATTTATCTTTTATAAACGAAGTTAAAATTATATTATTTTACTTACATACTTATTGAGAAATATTTTATTGTATACGTTTAATACAATTTGTGTTTAACGCAAAAAACGAACACAAATTTGTTTGTTTGTTTTGAATTTCGCGCAAAGCTAATCCAGGGCTACCTGTGCTAGCTGTCACTAAATTTAGCTGTAATAGATTGAAGAGAAGGTAGCTACTCAACACCACTCACCGCCAACTCTTGGGCTACTCTTTTATCAACGAATAGTGTGATTGGCCGCAACATTATAACGCCTCCACGGCTGAAAGGGCGAGCGTATTCGAGAAAGGGGACAACACGAAAAACGGTAATTTTTTAATTAAACTTATATATGTATAATCACATCAGTATATCATGACGTACGCTATACGAATGGCCAAACTCGATGAGAAAAAAAACAAATTTTACTTATTCAAATTCTTTGTTGTCATTACGAATCGAATTTACAACTGTATTGTTGGTTTTTGATTGGATATACAAATTTAGTTGATGTTTTTATATGATATCTAGAGTTTGAATGCTCTACGTGAACATGCGAACAGTTTGTTTGTTTGCAGTTAAGCACAAAGCTACACAATGGATTATCTGTGTTCTGCCCACCACGGGTATCGAAACCCGGTTTCTAGCGTTGTAAGTTTGTTTCTTTGTAATTAAGCACAAAGCTACACAATGGGCTATCTGTGCTCTGCCCACCACGGGTATCGAAACCCGGTTTCTAGCGTTGTAAGTCCGCAGACATACCGCTGTGCCACTAGGGGGCGCGTTGTAAGTCCACAGACGTACCGCTGTGCCACTGGGGGCCATGTGACCAGTCCTCTACGTAGGTAGTATGTTAAGTTAGTATATGGATGTCCATGTGAATAAATCATGAGACACTTTATATAAATAGTCAATGTATAACGTTTTTCAAAAGCTTTTTTTATTACTGATATTGAATTTAAATTGTAAATTAAAAAAATTTACAATAACTATAGTATAGAAATAATATCGTGTTAAGAACTACAGAGAATAAAATAGTGTTTTTTTATTTTGTAATGTAATACATACAACATATATCGAGGGTTTGAATGTTTTATGTTAATATAAAAAATAGTGTTCCACACAGATTGTAAATTAAACTAGTGACGCACTTTAGAACTCTCTGCCATCTAGTAGCCTAACTTGGAACTATTCACACCTGGCATTACAGTTTGGGAGTATAAGCTCTCTGGCACCATTTTGTGAAAATATAACATCACGTGATCTGTCAGCTTCAAAGAATACCTCCCCCCCCCCACTAGATAACAGCCTTTGATCTCCACTTCTTTTTGCGCCCTCAGGCGTCGGCATCCTTTACAATATAATCTTATTTTTAAAGCAATAAAATGTAATGATTATTAAAAGTAGGGATAATTTGCTTTAGGTTATTTAGGTGTTATGGTTACCGTCGGCGTCGGCGATTTAGGTGTTATGGTTGCCATCGGCGATCTTGCATCATGTGGTAGAGTTAGGCATCTCTCCCGCACTTTTTTAGGAAGATGCCCCCCCCCCATTTAAAAAAAATTAAATTACTGAATACTCCATAACGTTTTATAAAATCAGTTTAGCAGATAACTGAAGCCTACTAAGTCTAGATGCTATCCAATTAAAATAAAGGTGATTTGAGCTTCTCCACAGTAAAGTCTGGTCAAAAGCTACCACTGCTCTAGCCCGAGTTTCTAGTTTTCAGCCAACTCGAATCTATGCTTTCGATCTAACTGTGATTCCTTAGTATACTTTCATCTGGTTCCAATCCGTCAAACGCATCCAGAATGATCTCAAACTCCATAAAGTGGCAGAGTTGAAGACGTTTTTCCCTTCAGCTAAACACACTATCATCCTATCTTTCACATCTAGAGTTAACAAACCATGGCAATGCCAAAAGATGTATTAAGTAACATTTCTCCTGTCCCCTCCCTTCCTTAGCAAAATCGATCAAAGAGAGGAAAAAATCTTAATTATTATTGACATCTCAAGAAAATATTGCTAAAAAATAGCTCGATTATAGCAAACGTGAACATAAAGATATCGCCTACAAAAAAGAAGAAGAAGAAGGTCTTTAGTGCAAACAGAACCAAAACTGTTGAACAACCATCAAATTAAGAAAATATTGAACTTGTCATGAAAGTGAAGATCAACACTTAACAACAAATCTTGTTATTGTAGAAGCAGCAACTTTAGTAGATTGTTTGAATCTTGTTATTGTAAAAACAGCAACTTTAGTAGATTGTTTGAATCTTGTTATTGTAAAAACAGCATATTTAGTAGATTGTTTGAATCTTGTTATTGTAAAAACAGCAACTTTAGTAGATTGTTTGAATCTTCTTATTGTAGAAGCAGCATATTTAGTAGATTGTTTGAATCTTGTTATTGTAGAAGCAGCATATTTAGTAGATTGTTTGAATCTTGTTATTGTAGAAG